AGGCAAAGAGATTCCCAACCAAGTGTTGAAGATTGACATATCGTTTTGAAAGTACCATATTTTGATTGATGTGATCCTTCTTTCTTTCTTTTTTTCTGCGAAAACTGAGAAGTAGTGTGGGCTGATTTCTTCACAGTATTCTAATTTTTTGAATTCCTGTTTTCTTGGGTTTCATGAGCTGGAAGCCAAAATTATGTAAAAATACACAAATAAATAATTGAATTGGGGTGCACTGATTGCAGTTTTCTGGCCGATCACCGATTTCTAAAAAGTCTGACCTGCCGATTCCGATTTTGGCCGATACCGATTTTGTTTTCTAAGCGACACTGTTAGGTGTTTTAAGGTCGCAATGCACCTTCAATTTTCCAATATAATTTTGTTGAAAAACATACCTTTGAACAATATCCTAGAAACAATACAAACTTATTTAACTGGCCATGAGGTAGTGCTCTGAAATATAAATGAAGTTCAGACAATTGTTAAAACTAAAAAATCGGTAAAATCGGGTTCTCATGCAAGTATTGGACGATTTCCAATTTCCCAAAATTAAGTAAATCGGTGCAACCCTACTTGAAATTGTTTAAATTGTGGGCCCTGAATCTATCATCTATTAATGATTAACTTTTTGAATGGAATTATGGAAGTTAAACAACTATTACATGATATTCTAATTTTTTGGAAAGGGTCTGTATATATACTTAAAGGTTTATGAACAAATCCTTGTCTTTATTAATCAGTAGTTTAAAAATTAATATTCTGTCAGAGAAGAAAAATAAAGCTCATAATGATTTTATGGATAATTTATTTTTTAAGCCTTGCTTCTTTCCTGTCAGTGTCTGTAGAAATGAGTCACTTCTGTTCAGACAACAACAACTTTCCCTTCGACAACAATGTCCTGGTTCTGGACATGGTGCTGGACTCTCTTTGGGGGTTGCCACAGCCCATAGACTGGGACAATGTAGCTCAACTGTTACCGGGCTTCAGTCCCAACAAGGTAAGTGTAGTGAATCCTTTAATCTCTTCACTTGTCCCACTATTCACATCTTCTGCTTTGTTAGTTATCACTGAGAAACTATCCACTGGCTCTGTTGTGGATTTACAGTGTGCCTGTCGATTTGAGGCGCTGCAGAGGACTGGGGGGTTTCCATGTGTGGAATATCAGTTTAATGCCCAAACAGAAGTAAGCACCACACCATCAGACCTGTCCACACTGCTGGACTCTGCAGATATAACCAAAATATCTGGAAGAAGCCTGTGCTGCAGTGAAGATTCAGGTAAGTGGTGTCCTTTGTATGCACAAAAAATATACTTCAGTTATAAGATAAGATACAATACGCTGAAGAACAGCAGCACGAACATGAGTCTGAGCAGATGAATACAAATGAACACAGCATCATGAAATAAATCAGAAGCACAAGATCAGAAATCAATTCAATTCAGTTTCAATTCAGTTTATTTATAAAGCACCAAATCACAACAAAGTTGTTTCAGGGACTTTACAGGAACATTCACATAAAAGCCAATTAGTAAAGTTCTCTATCTAAGGAATCCAGCAGACAAGTTGAATCTTAGCTTCGTTGCAGTCTCCCATCCTGAGCAAGCACAGTGGAGACAGTGGAAAGAAAAACTCCCTTTAACAGGAAGAAACTGTAATGTTTTGTATTTGTCTTAATAAAGATAATCGACACGCTTCATGAGCCCGGGTCTGTTTATTGCATGCCCGTAACATGTACACCCAATCCTTACGTCACATCCTGTCTACTATATGGCAAGCCCATGAGGACAATAATTATGACGGTTTACAATACAACATTGTAAATACAACATCTCCTTTTTTTTTTTTTTTTTTTTTTCCTTTGAATGCCACATGTCCTCATTGAACTGGTACACATATTGATTATATTGTCACATGAAAATTATGCTGCAGTAAACAACATGTCAGACTTGTAAACATCATTTTACATTCACATTGCACATATTTTCATGTAAACATCATTTTTGGACAATATGGGCTTCAGTTTAGACAGCCACCTCAGTTGGAAGAAACAAGATTTAACAATCATGTTTACCTGACTGTTAAGTTTCAGGGAAGGGTCCATTATCACTCCCAGATTAGTGACTCTTTGTTTTTCTGACAGGGTTAGAGCAGAGAGGTCGATACAGTGGTTTGTGATCGTGTCGTTGTGAGGGAACAACATGACTTCAGACTTCTTTTCATTGAAACTTAAGAAATTTAAAGCCATCCTGTCCCTGATGTCAGCCAGGCAGTGGAGGAGCGGTTGAATAGAGCATGTACCGTTGTGTCTTAGGGGGAAGTAAATTTGACAGTCATTGGCATAGAAGTGGAAGGGCATGTTGTGTTTCCGGAAAATAGCACCAAGCGTCAGCAGGTATAAAGAGAATAGGAGGGGACCCAGGATGGACCCCTGCAGAACCCCCCATTTAAGCTCTGCCTCTGCGGAACTAAAATCCTTGATGGAGACACAAAAGGATCGGTCAGCGAGGTAAGATCTGAACCAATTGAGGGCTGATCCTGTGACGCCCACCCACTGCTCCAACCTAGCAATGAGGATCTCATGGTCGATGGTGTCAAAGGCGGCTGTGAGGTCCAACAGGACAAGCAGCACAGAATCACCAGTATCTGTGGATCTGAAGATGTCATTAAAGACCTTCAGCAGGGCAGTTTCAGTGCTGTGGAGAGGTTTAAAGCCAGATTGGAAAAGCTCTAAGATGGCGTGATCCTCCAGGAAGCACTTCAACTGGGACTCGACTATTTTCTCCAGTAGTTTAGAAACAAATGGGAGTTTGGTGACAGGCCGGTATTTGGAAATTGCTGGAGGGGTCAAGGATTGATTTTTTAATGAGAGGCTGGACAGCAGCATGTTTAAAGGTTTTTGGCACCACGCCAGTGGATAAACTACTGTTTACTATAGCAAGAATAGACGGACCTAGAGTTGGAAACACCTCCTTTAGTAGTCGAGGGGGGACCACATCAAACGGGGAACCAGAAGGTTTCAAGCTGCACATGACCTGCTCTAGAGAAGATAGAGTGATGGGTTCAAAATGGTCAAATGGAGCTACAGATTGAGGTGGGATGGATGGGTCATGAGTTGGAGAGGAAATGAGAGCCCTGGTGGTCGTAATTTTTTCCGAAAAGAAATGTATGAAGTTGTCGCACAGTTCAGTCGAGGCTTCCAGAGGTGATAGTTCAGTGAGGTGGAGAACAGAGTTTTGGGTGGAGAAGAGGACACGTGGGCTGCAATAGTTTGAGGTAATTATATCAGAGAAGTATTTGGATTTAGCAGCTTTCACTGCTTTCTGATAACAGCGCCAAATCTCTTTAAGAATTTGAAAAGAGACCTGCAGCCTGTCTTTCCTCCACTTTCGCTCCGCCCTCCTACATTGCTGCCTAACGGCCTTGGTGACTTCACTCAGCCAAGGTTCTGCTCTAAGTTTAGATTTTTTGGTTTTAACAGGCGCAACATGATCCAGAGTCTTTAAGCAGACAGAGTTAAACTGGGATGTCATCTCCTCAGTAGTGGTGATAAACACTGGGGGCTGAATTATCTTTTTGAAGAGTTTCAGTCAGGGCTTAGAGCTCATCATAGTACAGAAACAGCACTAGTAAAATTCACTAATGATATTCTCATGGCCTCAGACAATGGACAGGTGTCTATACTGGTCCTGTTAGACCTCAATCCTGCATTTGTAACACCTGGAGAGCAGGTGCAAAGACAATACCCTTCACATCATTGTGAAAAAGACAAAGGAGATGATTGTGGACTTCAGAAGAAACAAACAAAGCTATACTCCCCTGAACATAAGAGGATCTGCGGAGGAAGTGGTCTCCCGCTACAAGTACTAGTGTGTGCACCTGAATGACAACCTCAGCTGGGGCAACACCACCAGCCTGATCAAGAAACTTCATCAGAGACTCCCTCAGACTGCTGAGACGAGCTGGTCTGGGAAGCTCAGTCCTCACCACCTCTTACAGGTGTGCAGTGGAGAGCATCCTGTGCTCCAGCATCAACGTGTGGCATGGAGGCTGCACATTTGCAGAAAGAAAAGCTTTGCGGAGAGTGGTGAAGGCTGCACGGGGTACTGTTCGGGTCGGCCTCCCCACCATCACAGACATTTGCACCTCTAGATGCAGGAAGAGGGCCACCTGCATTGTGGTGGACCCCACTCACCCAGCACACACACTTTTTGCCCCACTCCCCTCACAGGGGAGGTTGGGGAGCATTAAGTGTAGAACCACTAGACTGAGGAACAGCTTCTGCCCTGAGGCTGTTGGACTCATGAATATCTAACCAGGATGATCACTGTGAGAAATCACATCATGTTGCTGCTGATCTGTTTCATGTTGCTGCTGATCTGTTTCATGTTGATGTGTTCATGCGTGCACATCTGCTCACACAGACTCATGTTCGTGCTGATGTTCGACGTACTGTTCTTATTCTATTAGTGCTTAGTGTATATTTAGTTGATGTTTTTCTTAGTTCATATCTTGGATCTTATTACTGTTTTCCTTTTACATTTTATTGTTGGATGTAACTAGGGCTTTAACAGACTACACGAGTAATCTACACATCGATTCCTAGGACACCTATCAAGGTTTTTAATTTCACGTAGAGTATTCGTGGTGACATCATTACGTTGCCGTTACGTCATCGCGTCACGTGATTCGCACCGGGCGCGGGTTACAAAATGGATTCCTCCAAGAAGACGGATGGAGCAGAGCAGACCCAGTCTTGACATCCATCCATCCATTATCTTTACCCGCTTATTCCATTTTGGGTCACGGGGGTCGCTGGTGCCCATGTCCAGCAATCACTGTGCGAGGGGCGGGGGACACCCTGGGCAGGTCTCCAGTCCATCACAGGGACACATAGAGACAAACGAGACAAACAACCATTCACTCTCTCACCTAGGGACAATTTAGAGTTACCAATCAGTCTAACATGCATGTTTTTGGTCTGTGGGAGGAAACTGGAGTACCCGGAGAAAACCCACGCATGCACGGAGAAAACATGCAAACTCCACCCAGAAAGGCCCCCAGACTGTGATTTGAACCAAGGACCTGCTCACTGAGAGGCAGCAGCTCTACCAGTTGCGCCACCATTCTGCCCTTCCAGTCTTGACAAACGGGTAGAAATGCATCAATAGTCTGGAAATATTTCACTAAAGATGAATCTTCTGGTTCAACTACCATAAGGAAACAGAAAATGAATAAACTTCCTGACTGTTTAGAGCTCGTTGCAAACTGGTGTTACACCATATTTTGTGACCGTAGGGGGCGGTGTTGCATGCACTGTTGTAGGTCACAGAATATGGTGTAACACCAGGTCCAATTGACCAAACCAGAACCAGTTTCCTCTGACCTTGTTTCACAAACAAAAAGCAAAAAATATTAATCTCTAAACCTATTTAAAAAATCTATAAACATATTAATCTCTAAAACTAAACTTAATGCGCACCACAGCTGGCGGTGGTGCGGGGTGGTCGACCCCCCCACACACACACACACTGTTTTTAGTTTTGTTGTTGACGTGCTGCACATTTTTTCACGTTTGCAGCTTAATAATAATAATAACTAATAGTTTAGTTTTTCTTGTAACTTATTTGCTGTATGATAAATGGTAGGAGCATAATATATGCTCCCAATGTTTTGTTGGTCTTTTTTTTTTTGTAAATAATGACCTTTTTTGCGGTTTTATTTATCAATTTATTTTTGTATCTTTAGATCCTATGATGTCATCAAGTACTCGAGTTCTACTCGAGTTTTATTATGTTAATGTCGAGTTTAAAAATTATGTAGTCGTTCAACCCCTAGATGTAACTGGGACCCAGTGTACATAATTTCGCTCCACCACATGTACCACATGTGGTGCGAACAACAATAAAAAATCTCTGGCTCTCTGACTTCTCCCCATGCTGAGTCCATTGTTGAAAAATGACAAAACAGAAATCAAAAAACCGCTAAAATTTGATGCCACTTCATTTTCTTTTTTTTTTTTTTTTCAGAAGAAGAAGATGTTTCTTCTTCAGAGGTTTTTGTGTCGTTTCCTTCAGTAGTTTTTTTTTTTTTTTTTTGGGCCGCCCCCCCCAGGGGGGGGGGGGGGGGCAGTTTGGCTCGATTGACTCAGTGCAGTGTGAATGCGAACCGCACCAGCTGAAAATGTAAACAGATGTTCTGAATTTTGGTCCCCAAACGAACCTAGTCTACTGGACTATACTATCAGGTGTGAAAACACACTAAAAGATATAAGATGTATGATAGTCACTAATAGTGCAAAACAATACACCGAACAACAGCAGCACAAACGTGAGTTGGGCTGGGTACCTTTCTAAAAAAAAAATCGGTATTGGTACTGGTGTTGGTTCTTGGACGGTTCTTTTTTCTGTACCAATTTTGAAAATAATATTAATTCTAACAAAAAGTAAATTATGTTACACATTATAGTACAAATTGTGAGTTTTATTTTTTAACTTTGGTATTTTTCTATTCCAAGCAGTTTTCTTACATAAAAATAAACAAATAATTTTCAATTCAAAAAAACAGTTTCAAACCAGTGACAGGTCAGTGTCTAATGTTCACTGCTACACACCGAGGACCTTTTCACTGAACAGTTTGTCTTCAGAAAAATTCAGAAACATGAACATGTCTGTTTTCTCTGGACACAGACAAGCTGCTCCTGGCTGATGGTGTCTCCAGCAGTAGAACATGTTCACTCTGAGGCTGTAGATGATGATTGTTGCACACACAGATACCTGGTTGCCAGTTTGACATATTATCCCCCACATTCCACCAGCAGGTCACTGGATTCACTGAGGTTAGGGTTGATGAAGACTTCTGCACCTCTGTGTCTCTGCCTGAATCTTCTCTGTGGTTCTCTGGGGTTTAGGGCTCTGATCATCTCCCTAACTGACATGAGAACAAAACATCAACAATAACATGGTTGTGTTATTATTGACCAAAAAACATTATCTAGGCTGAGAGATACTGGTTTAACTGGTCTACAAAATCCTTTAAAGTTTACTTACCTCCACCAATGCAGCCTCCACTGTAGTTAGAAGCAGCAAACTTTTAACAACAAAGTTTGTGACTGTCCTGTGGCCCCCACCTCACTTTTCTTTTGTCTGTCCTCCTCACATCAGGGTCAGAACCTCGTGCGAGGAGAAACAATGAACATTAGTGAACTGTTTAAGCAACTGACTGGACAGATGAGCACATTTTTACAAGATAAGCTTTATCTGTTACTGTCAATCTTTAGTTTGCTTCTGATTTTAGCTAGCTACATAGATAGCCATAAAATAAATTTACACACTAATATCTTAAAGTTAGCGTTACATTGATTCTAGTTCAATTCACCATGTTGTACGTGTTAAGCTGCAGTAACGTTAACAAACGTAAATTTACCAGCTGAAATTCCAGACACAGCTCCATCCTCGGAGTTCTTTGATGAAGAGGAGTCCAGTCATGGAGATAATGAATCAGGACGTTCATGCTCTCTAACACTCACAGGCTGACTTTAATGCTGAGAGGAGGAGGAGGGGGGAACCTGTGGTGATTCTCTCTCCTTGCAGAAAAACACGGAGCAACTTTCTGCTCATAAATTGAAGCCGTTCGACAACACACGCGCTGCACACGTGAACCCTGTCTGTGGGCGTCACCAGCACCATAGACATACATTATACATAGATTATGTGCAACAGCTCTATACAGCTCTGGGTGTAAACACGTAGTCTGTTTGTCATATGTCTGGTGTTTTACCTGCCTGCGTGCTGAAACCACGCGTCACGTTACAGCCAATACCGAAACTTGACACTGAAAAAAGAGTGACGTTTCAGTCCACACACCGACCTGTGCAGTTCGGTCGGTGCTATAAAATAACCTCGGTTCGGTACTCAGCCCTAAACATGAGACACCCAAAATACCTCTAATTTCCTATCTAAATGACTACTGGCCCATTGCTCTCACTTCAATGGTGATGAAGTGTTTTGAAAAGCTAGTCAGGAGTCACATCACTTCACTCCTTCCACAAACCCTTGACCCCCACCAATTTGCTTACCGAGCTAATAGATCAACTGAGGATGCCATTAAGGCTTAAGCACAGCTCTTCGTGTTTCCATGTCCCACCTCGAGAAAAAAGAGCTATGTACGGATGCTCTTCATAGACTATAGCTCTGCTTTCAACATCATCCTTGCCAACAAAGTGGTAAACGGGGAAATGGGACTTCCATACTCCACCTGCGCATGGGTAAACGGTTTTCTGTCTGACCGCAGCCAGAGGGGGTCAAGTGGGCCATCACATATCCATGGCCCTCAGCCTCAACACGGGAGACCCCCAGGGCTGTGTACTGAGCCCCCTGCTCTATGCTTTGTACACACATGAATGCACCCCTGCTCACTACAGCAACACCATAGTCAAATTTGCAGACAGTACCACAGTGCTACGGCTCATCAGTTCATTAGTGGGGGGGGGATAAGTCTGCCTACAGGGATGAGGTGGAACAATTGACTGCTTGGTACTGCTTGAGTTGGACTTATATTTAACTATAGATTTTTGGTTGAGTTTATATTTCTTATGTTGTTGTTTGCAGGCTCCAAGTCAATCCCTTTGAGAAGAGTGGGTCCTGTTGAAAGGAAAGAGAAACGACCCTCAGCAGAAGAGGACAGTAAACCTCAAAAACCACAAGAGTAAGTCAAGAGAGGTAAACTACACTAGAACACGGTGATGAATTTTAAAATCTTTTGAAATCTGTTTAATCTGTAAATATACTTAGCCTTATACACAAATTTTGAAAGTCTGCTAATTAAAATGTTTATCAACCTTGTTTTACAGTCCTAATGTTGTGATCCACGTGTGCGATGAGACCAAGAACCTGAAGCAGCATTTCACCTGTCCCAGAGATCTTTTAGTCAAAGAGATGCGGTACTTTTCTGAGTATTTGTCTTTGGACCCACAGAGGTGGGATGAGGTGGACATCTCTGTTCACTGTGATGTGCAGATTTTTGACTGGCTCATGAACTACGTCAGAAGGAATACGACAGAAAAAGGAAACAAGGACAAACCCCGGCTTGGTAAGTCAATTCAATTAAATTCAGTTTATTTCTATAGCGCCAAATCACAACAAAGTTGTCTCAAGGCACTTTACAGAAACATTCACATACATAAAAGCCAATTAGTAAAGTTCTCTATCTAAGGAATTAAGTTAAAAAAAATAAATACAATAAAAAATAAATCATTTGCATGATTCCTCTCAATAATAGCGGAACTGTTCACCTACTTACCATACCATACCACTTTATTTATAAAGCACTTAAAACAGCTACAAGGCTGTTGAACCCAGACCCAGACCAGTGGTCATTCCATATGTTGAGGGGGTATCAGAGAAACTGAGACGTTTATTTTCTAAACATAACGTCCCAGTGGCTTTTAAACCCCAAAATACATTAAAGACTGGTTCATCCCAAAGATCCAGTCCCCCGGCACAAACAGAGTAATGTTGTGTATG